GAAAGAGTGGGGAAAGGTTGATAGTTTGTTTTCTGATAGCTATCAATCTAAGTGTGAAATCACAGATGTGCAATGTCTTAATTACCATGTAGAGGAATATAATGATTTTTAATATGAAGTTCAGCAAAGTCTGCATTAGACTGGCTTTTTTTCCTACAAAGCATTTAATATTGAATTGAATTCCAATTCTGAATAACGCGTAATCTAGACATTATAACTTTTCTTGGATTCCCATTCTCAAAGTCCAACTGAGGTCATAGCACATTATTCCCAAAACTACTTTTTCAGTAAGTTGTAGGAAATGCTTAAGAAAAATTAGAAGTCAGGCAATAAACTCACAGAGTTGATATAGGCAAAAATGCCTGATGAATCCACAGATTAAATAGTTGTACAAAGCACCACAACGATGCACGATATTAAACCAAGACATTACAGACACAACCATTGCTTCAGGGATCATGGGGGACTGAGGAACAGTAAAAGTCTTTCTGTTGGTTTTTGTTTTGTTTTGTTTTCATTTTGAGTATTACTTTTTCCCTCTGGCAATATCATGAAGGGAAAGAACAAAGAAATACATTCTAGGTGAAAAAATCACGTTAATAAATGTTGGAAACATACTGGATCGGGCCAGGTAGGGATTTATGGAGGGGAGACAGGAAAGGTTACAGGAAGCTGTAGTCCCTGCAATAAGAATACCCACAGAGAGGACAAAGGTGAAGGAGGACAATATTTGCTATTAAAAGAGGATTAGATTGCCTTTACTACTATCTTGGAAACTTTAGGAAACAGTAACAAAGACTTTGTATTTAGAGAGGTGGTAAGTAAAGATGAGAGATTGTGGGAAGAGCTGGCTTTTGGAGAAACTTGGAAATAAAATTGGCACGTGGTATATAAATATTTGAGGCTCTGAATTAGGAAAATATTGTGCTTAAATTACACAGGACAGGTACTTGCATCAACAGCAAAATGTTATCAAAGTAGGCCTTCGATGCAGTATATTGGCCAAAAATGTTCCTATTTACATTGTAATGCAAAGCATGTGCATTGCAGGGGATTATCTGTCACAGATGTGAATGCTGGTTTTGTTTGCTTATTTGGATAGTTTGTAAAGTATCTGTGAACATTTGGTAGAAAATACAAAATACAAACACAAAAGACAAAAAATTTCTAAAAAGCTACATTCCCAATTAGATCTTTACATTAAAAAAACATTTTTCCAAAAATGCTGTAAGCTCATAAGTCCCACTGAGAACAATTTGAAAATCTATCCATTTCTCCAAAGTGCCTAACAGGAATCTGAGAGCCTTTGATACCCTTGCATAGTCTTTTTTTAATGTTGTATCATTGTAAGGATTGAAGATGAAAGGAATCTCATACTAGTAATCTTTCATGCGTTTCTGCAATACATGGATTGCCAACCAAACCAGTGACCCAATTTAAAATTGTTTTCATGAGTTCTCACAGGTTTACACATGAAGAATCTATACCAAAATCTTTTTATGTCGAGCCAATCACTGAAACAAGACATGGATGAAACAGTACAGTGAACATACCACTGAAGTACTCTGTTTCTCTTACAGAGATAGTAACAGTTCAAGGAAATAAACCACATGTGGAGCAAATTTGTTAAACCTCTTCAACATGGTTTAATTAAGTATTAATACAAATTAATCCAAACTTCTCTCTCTTAATTTGTCAGATTCATCCAAAGTAATTTTTTACTACTATCACTTAGCTATCTCTGTCCCCTGAATAGGCTAAAGAACTGGGTAGCTTTTTCCTTGACTCGGATTGAAAGTAATTCTTACCTATATTCATTTAACTAACATTTTTTTTCAGTGTGAATGAAACTTAGTGATTTAAATATTTGCAAAAAACAAACAAGTATTAATAATTGAGCAAGCTAAACCAAAATTACTTTAATGTAGGCAAATGCAGAACAGTTCTTGTGATGTTTACCTTGCTGCTGAATAAACTGTCCTCACACTGCTTGCATTATGCTGGGCAGAGCTGTAGAACATTTCTCTACCAGCTGAACTTACCTCCCCTTCTGTGGACTGTAAGTGCAGTTCTTTCCTGCAGGTAGCCTTTAAGTCTCCTGCAGCTGCATTGACTTGCACTCCCCTGGGTGCTTCCATCACCAAAGATCTAGTAGGAGATTCAAGTCTGAAAGAAAAAAATAACAACTGAGAAAAAATCCACCGAATCAAACCACCGAAAACCACCCAGCCCCAAAACCTGCAATGCATGTAGATACAAAAGTATTTTGAAAGGTAAAGAAGTAAAAATTAGTTGTATGTGTGATTCTCTCACTATTCTCTATGGCCCAGAGAAAGGGCGGGGGAGGGGGGGGAAGTATGTGTTCAAATCTATTTCTGTGTAAGACAGCATTTAAGCACATACTGATATAAGCTTGTCTGCTTAGTGATGCTTTCTGGCATTAGTACGTAATTTACTTGACTGTAGTAATACTGAATACAGATACATAAGATTCCACACATCTCACCACTCACAGAAGTGAGTGCTTCTGTAAAGAGATGTTAATAACTAAAGTCTGCTTAGTGACTGATAAATGTTCATCAAAATAAAAAGAAAACAAAACACCTAAAAAGTTTTAAATAATGATGTAAAACTGACTAGAAAGACACAGCATTCATAGATTCATTTGTATTTCAGGTAGGTGTAGCAGCATTATGTACGAAAAAGAGAAGAAGAAAAAATCTGTTATGTCTCTAATACTGTATTTTTTTGCATGCTATTTTTCTGTTCTGCAAAATACTCATTATGTTCTTTAACCTGTTATAACTGGGTTAAGATGCATATCCCTGGGTCTTGGTATCTTTCCTCAATGCAGCTATTGTTGTACTCCTGTCAGTCTTTTCATTTCTCTCTACTCTACACTCAAGATCCTCCATCAACCTTAACGCAGAACTGTGATATTTTCTTAGCTATATTATCTCCCAGTATTGGACAGGTTACTCTTGAAAGGGAAGTACTAATGCAAGGATTTCATAGCAGTCGTGCTCTGACACTGAATAGGCAAGATGATCGCATGAAAACTGTATTGAACTAGGAAACAAAAATTTGGATTCTGGTTGTGTTCAGCTGTAGACTTATTACATAGCCCTGTTAAGAGTGAGACAAATCTTTTAATCTATTTATATCCCAATAATATAATGACAGATCACAGTTCCACTTTACCTGAACAAAGGCTTTTTGTAAGATGAAATATATTAATGATAGAAATGTCTAGAATTAGTAGTTTGAAGGAGACATTGTATTTCCTTCTTCAACAAATTGTATTTTGAGTGTTAGGTCACATCCATCCAAAAATATAATGAGGTACTAGATGTATAAAGGAAAGAATAGTTTGACAAAGAATTTGCTACAGAAAAGGCAAATGAAAGATCTATTGAACAATGGCAGAAAAGAATTTCAGTGTATTTCAACTATTGAATAGAGAATAGCGATGGATTGTCATTTTGAAACCCAAATGCCACATTTGCATGCAAAGTAAGTCACTGAGATAGTGTCTGTGAAATATTTCTGTTTGTTACATGTCACTGACACTCAATAGGGAAAAAAAAAAAAAAAAAGGAAAGCAATTATTCGGCAACATGAAACTATTAAAAGCAGGTGTCCAGATAGAGGAAAACACTATTTGCTGCTACCTATATTAAAAAAGCATACATAGGATACATATAGATCGGACCAGTAGAAAAGTCTGTATTTCTGTTAGTGCTAAACAATATTATTTCAATTTTTTGACACTCTGTAAGGAGAAGTTAATAGAAGGTTCTGCAGTTCTTTGTACCAGGGAAGAATCTAAATACCATTAATTATTTAATCATGTCCATCAGTGTTTTTCAGGTGGTGGTCTGTGAACTTCTGATGACAATAGGACAGCAGAAAAAGAGCTTCCAAAACATTTTAGAAACTATATAAACTATAAAGTTTAGAAATTATGTTTTTGAAAGTACTCTGTTGCCTTAATGAGGTTTTACCTTGAATTTAAAAGGAAACTGAATTGTGTAAATGTTAAATGACTGGATACTTCCATAATATTCAGCAGCATATTTTTGTGATTTATAACCTACTTTCCAAGAATATTAACATTTCTCAGTGGTTTCAACTGCCATTTCATAATCAGGAAGACAAAAGTGCTCTTTACATTTATTTCATTGAATTGCTGGGTATTAGCAAAGTCACAAATATTTCTGCTTTCATAAAATCAAAACCACTCTCAGACCTGACTGAAATTTTTCAGTAGGTGGACAATAAAAATCTATTTAGGAATATCTTTCAAGAAACTATGATTTTGCTTGAAGAATAAACTTTTTTGTTTCCAAAACACATGACAGTGTATAGCTCAGAGTTGTTTTGCCTAGCTTCATCACTGTTTTTCATGAACTCCATTAATATAAATGACTTCCAGTTTGTCTAAAATGAAGACATTTGGGCAATTAATTTCTGAACTTGAGAAGAAGTTGTTAATATCAGCCTTCTACACACTGTGGAGAAGAAATCTCTTTTTTTGGACAATAGATTTTTTTCTAGCAGTTTCCTGAAATCAAATAATGTGGTAGAAATGTCAATGACCAGCTGATGATTGGCAGAGTAGTTTTTAAAACACCATCCATCTATTAGTAAAACTGAATGGCTAAATCTGTTTTACAGTTACTAATTTACATTTCTTCTTATTATTCTTCAGATGATCTATATCTGAAAAGTGACTTGGCTGTGCAATCTGCAGCATGCTACTGGAAATACAAATGTCTATACACACAGATTATTTCCTCAATGTTTTGAGATAAATTATGTTTGATATGTAGCTGCTCTATAATATTTTTCTTTGTCATATTTCTGAAAGCTTTAATCTCTACTATAAACTTATTGTAACACTCCACATTGTAATACTCATCCCTCCAAGGACAAGTGCATTATTACTATAGCATATCAAGAATTTGCTTTCCTTTCAGATTTACTGATGGCCTGTCACACTGGTATTTACTTCTATGAGTGAATCCTATTCATATGATTAATTTTTCTTTCCCAAACAACAAACAACTATGATAGAGAAGGTAACTACTGCTATTATTTGACAGAAACTACAACACTATAGAAAGACAAAGAGGCTTTTAAAAAGAGGTTTTTAAATAACATAATCTGTCAATTCACTATATGTGATGCAGACAGATGATCTATCCAGAGCAGAGAAGGGCTTTTTTCTTTTTAATTATCAATGGTTAATTTCTGAAAAAAGATGAATTTAAGAGGATCAAAGCTATATGAATTTGAGTTGAATTCATTAAAGAATTATTGCTAAAAAAGGAAACTTTTCAAATATCTTGAATATGTTCCTTTAAAGGTATTAAAATATTTCTCATCAGAAATGCAGAAACATTTATTTTTCATTCGGTATTTTCTGTTTACAAGCTGACCTAGATTGTATTAGAGAAAAATAATTTAAAAAATGAACCAAAAGGTTTCATTTTGGGTTTTAGGAAATATTTTAGATTTACCTCTTGCATATCCCTCATACTCACATGGGATATAATTTATCTATGTTAATTGTGCTCTGTTGGCTAGCAGATGGTATTAAAATAGAAGGAAATAGAAGATTCCCTTGTGCAAATGTGAATAATTTATTTGCTTCATGTCTATTTAAGCAGTGGATCCAACCCATGCTACTTAGTAAAATGACTGATATGAACCTCTTCCAATTTGGAATTTGTATTCAAAACAGAGGATTAAAAAAATTTCCCCTTTACTGACATCTTTACACCCAGGGGTCAAGAAACACTTCAATACTTTCAAATATTTAACTATTATATATGATGGTCTTGCCAACATACATTGTTGTGGGATGTTTTCAGTTAGCATAGGAATTCTCTATTAAAAAAAAGTTTTGCAAATATAAAACCAATGGAATATCTACACATTTATTTGGTAACCTTATTATAAATTTCTACAGATTAAAATAATTGTGACGTGGGTCTTGCTGCCTTTAGGCAAAAAGTTACGGCAGACTGGGGCTGCAGAGAGGTAAGATACACAAAGAGGAGAAGAGAAGGCAAACGGATGTGCCAAGTCTCCCTCTATCCCTTTTCCTACTTCCTTGTAAACAAACACCCCCAACCCTGAGACCCCATAGGATGCAGGGACTTCCTCTTCCACAAGTGAAACTATTTTGTTCCAAATTAGAATTAAGATTTTTTTAAAAAAAATTTTGAAAATGTTGTTCTCCATAAACCTCAATTTTAAGTATATATTCCTTCCATTTCTATTATTATGAAAAGAACAGCCAGCTGCCCTAATGCTCAAGGAAACTGATTTCAAGAGTTCTCCAGTGAGACCAAGAGTCCTTAAAGGAGTCCACCGAATGCTGATGGTGTGAGATAAAATCAGGGTTTCATTCCATCCAATTCCTGGAAGTCAGCCTGCAAATTCCAGTATTATCCGTAAAGAATAACCAGGGACATTTATGACCATGATGACAAAAAAACTGGAAGCCCTTTTTTAAGATACTGGAACTATTCAAACAGAGGATTCTTGATTAGCTGCATTTGACATCACAGTGGGAATGTTATGAAAATAAAATTACTACTCACTCATTTCAATCTCACTAGTTATACTATTTAAGAGATTATACACGTATTTTTTAACATATGTAAAAAAGTGACTACAAATCCTTTTTTGATACATTTGCATGTATCAAAATGTGTACCTCTGCAAGATGCATAAGAATCATTGCTAGAATAGTTATTTTTCCTGAAGCTTGTTGTATTCCGATGTTTTTAGCCAAATGCTTGTATTTTCAGGATGAAATAATTGGTTTTATTGAAATGGAAGGGTAAATGTGGAGGCCTCAAGAATCCTTAATATTGTTCACAGATCATCAGCTATCCTTTATCAAGAAGCAAAATTCTCGTATGTTCACATGAAGCTCTCTTTGGCTGATGTGGGAAGCTAACCTTTAAGGGCACAATTTGGCTCTCTATTTTGTGACTTTACAACATGAGTCTTAAGAGAAAGGTAAATAAATGTTTTATGCAATAGGTAATGGTCTAAACCAGTAAATATCAACACTATTATGTTTTTTTTTTTTCCCCCCAATATCCAATTTTGCAACTCATGGACAATAAACTTAAATATGGAGGAAACTT